GTGGAAAGGAGCACGAATTTTGTTCAACGGAATACTGCACAACTCTGCCAAGGCTGGAGATCCACCTACTCAAAGCAAGTCGCGCACATCTACCTCTCCAGCCTCCACCCAAACGGACCCGATGAAAGCTAATAACAAGGTCTCGGAATACCCAAGAAGCTCAGTGACCCATGCATTCACGCCAAGAGTGGTATTAAATCCACCAGAGATATCATTTGTCAACTGGTTTCATCTTCAGACCCTTGCTTCCTTCCATTGGATGTCAGTGGAATGCAGCTTGGCCAACTGGACTCTCCGCCCCCAGAAGCACTTGAAAGGAAGGCGGACTTGGGCCGTTCACATCCTCCGCATGTTGGAACCTTAGACTACTTATTATAACAACAAGGGCACCTGATTTGGACACGGCCCCATGTACTTCCTGCTGTTCAGTGAGACAAGGCGTGAAACTCAAAAGGACCATGCCAAACAGATCAGCTCAGTCGGATAGTGCTTCAAGTGGCCAACTGTTTCATTCTTTGGACTGTGGAGCATCCCTATTCAGTAAGGATGCCAAACCCATCCATACCGCAACGGTCGAGAGCACCAATAGTCTCAAATGCAACAGCACTAGGACCGGTAGTTCAAAAAACCCTGTAAACTAAAAGTTAATATACCAGTGGTTCGCCCTCCTGATTCGCCCTCCTGATGCCTTCCTCCCGAAAGACTTCCCGTTCCATGAGGAGGCGCTACGGCTTTCGGTCTCCTCTTTGGAATGCTCAAGGATGGTTGAGGTTTGCCCTCTGGCGGTTTCGGGTGCTTTCAGGATAAGCTTGGGCTGAGCATGTACAGTTCAGACGAGCCCCCTTTGATCTGGGAAATCTTAGCGAGTCCCCCTATGTCACTCCCAAATAAACCATGTACCACCAGCAAGTTTGACCAAACCTCGTGTGCGAGATGTAAAACTCTCTTCTCTGCTCAGCACGACACAGCCGTCCTGTGCGAGACCAAGAAAACGCTGCCGAAGGATCCTTTTCCCAGTTGCCTTTGAACCTGGCGCAGGATCGATTGGCCAACTGAATCTGCACTCGGCAAGCGCCGGTTGTGATGTGTCGATTTCATGGTCCTGTGATTCACCAAGCCCAATTCTTAACTAACTGCATAGCTTTTGCCCGAGGAACAAATATGATGGCGGCCGGCCATATCAGGAGGTGCCTGTATCCAAACAGGTTCATGTGCGAATGCCAGCACTTGTCTTGCAGTGTGTGTGTGTGAGGCTGGTGTAGCGCGCAGGTAGTTTTCAACAGCTCACCTCTGCAACCTCTTGGCTGCGAACGGACTTGGCATGGCGCGCCTCCACACGCTCTGCCCATCGACACGTGTGGTCAACTAGACATAACTTACACATCCTGTGGATGGTCGCGAAATCCATGTCGCCAAGTTGTGGTTTCCCATAGTTTCATTTTCGTGGTTGCGAACGGATGTCGCAACCATCCAAAGTAGAAGTATCCCGTGTTCATGAGGTTCTTTAGGTTTCTGCATTGCCTAACTTGGTTTTGATCAGCCCTTTAATGCCTTCAAAAGCGGTTTTTTCCACTTCAACATATTTCGCGCTCGCCGACTGGAACAGCCCATGCCCACAGAGTCTCTCAGGTTCCAACGCCGGAAAGCAACGCCGCTACGGGGTCTGTTTTGAGGGATCCCTTTGGGTTGCTTGTGAAGGGAAGCCAAAAGAAAACCAACAAATTTGGCGGTTCCTTTGAAGAAAGATAGCCCTAAGTACTTTCGCCAAACCAAATGCCAACTCTACAGAATAGGGAGTTGGAAGTGAAACCAACACCCCCACTTCAAGCTGTCTACGTGCGACACCCAGCCTCGTACACGTCGTGAAACCTGCATGGGACAACGTGTTTCAGTGCCGGCCCCCCAATCCTCAAGTCAAGTGGAATCTTCCCTGAATTTCCTGGAGTAGTAAAACACCTATCTGCAAGTTCTAATCCCTTCGGCATAAGCTTATAAAGGCCCCCGTAATCACAAACAAATCCAGAATCCCAACAAAATGCCAGGTCTGGGAACACTACATTTAAACTAGCTAAGTTGAAACCGATACTAAACTCTCGACTTCTCCCATCGACCTGTCTTCCTGTCTTATTATTTGGGGACGCCCCGGCATAATTCCGTGCACACACTTACAACCCATGACTAACCGATTTGCTTTCTCCAGCAAAGAACAGGCTCAATCAAAAGCAGACACCTATGTCCTACTGTATTTACTTACTCAACCCTACTTGAAACAAACAAGAAACAAAAGAGGAGTCTTAACCATCAAAAACCCTGTCATAAAGTCGCATCCTGGACGTTTTGTTTGTTCCGTACAAGGACAGAGTATTTTGTACTAGAACCAAAGCTAGTTTGTAGCGTGAGCCATTTGAAGCCAGGGCCCCCAAATAGCTAACATGTTTTTGTTTTCTCGGAGAACACGCTTTTGCATGGGGTGGGGGCGCTTGTAGTCTTTGGGGGGAAGGGCTTAAAGCTCTTCTAAAACCAGAGAGAAAGCATCTCTACGTACGTGACCTATATCCTTGTAGGCTCCCCCCCCCCAGGTAAGAAACACACACACACACACATGCGCTAAAAAAGGCAAGCCCTCTCCCCCAGCCAGATCACCTAACTAGCTATGTTTAAAACCATGGCACATCTATACATACGTACATTTTGTTTAAAAACTAATAAATACGGATACGGCAATAAAGTGAGGAACACATGTCATGTCCACACTGCGTTGCCTCAAAGAGGTGGCAAATGAGATCAAGCTGCACAAGCAGCGCCGGGTGCGCACTGGCGATTCCGTCGCCGCTCTGCTCACCGTGTCTTTGGCGCCCGTCTAGAGCCACACCCGCGGCCGAGCTGGTGCGTCTGTCGTCTGCACGAAGCGAGCACTCAGGGCGAACGTAGCCGCCAAAATGTCCGATGTGAGCAGTGACATTCTGTGCTGTTGAAAGAAGTATCACTTGTTGCTTGTTCCGCTTTTGGACTGCACCATACACATGGCATCCAAGAGGGGTCAAAACATGGGTCTGTCTCAAATAGGGCAACCATTTCTAGATGGTTTTCTGGGACAAAAGCAGCAAACTCGCCGGTGGCCCCGGGTCCACCATTTTGACACAAACATGACATCATCGAACCGCCCTTTTGGAGGGAATGGACGTCGGTTGACACAGCACCCGAGAGAAGCCTTTTGTCAAGCTTCCATTCACAGCTTAGACTCTGCACAACAGCAAGCAACCTTCTGCCCCAGCAGGTGCGAACCTAGTCTGCTCCCATCTGAAGACCTTTGAATCAGTTTTCTTTTGCTAGCCGGCATACATGTCAAGTACAACCCCACCCGCGGCATTTGACGATCAGCTTAGACCATGAATGATCCAACAACAAGGCCCTTCTGCGAGCCAGGTGCCGTTTGGTGGCTTTATAAAGGGTCCAAACAACCCTCCGGCTCAAGCACGTACATCTTCTCTCGCAACCCGCCCATTTGCTTGCAAGCGCTGACCTCTGCAGATTCTTCTGGATGAATTCTTGCCTCCATCGCTTGTCGCGCTCCTGCGAGCGAGAACTAAAACAGGTCAGTGAGTGAGAAAAAAGGTGACCAGACTTGGAGGGATGATTTCGCTAGAGAAGCCTGATCTTCTCCTTTCAATTCAGCATTTCCAATGGAGAATCCAAATTGGGAGGGCTTTAATCCAGTTGTGCTGTGTTTTTGGGAGTCGCCAACTTCTGTGATAGGCAACGGAACTGAAACACACAAACGCACATTCTCGCCAACACATACACAAACCAGAACAACAACAACTAAATGCAAACACAAGCAGGCACAAAGACAAAGACAACAACGACACCAAAGACAACCGCACAAAGCACACACACACACACACACGCAGACAAACACACACCCAAACACACACACACACACACACAAACACACACACACAAACACACACACACACAGAGACTCAGAGACGCAGAGACACAGAGACACAGAGACACAGAGATACAGAGACACAAAGACACAAAGACACAGAGACACAGAGACACAGAGACACAGAGACACAGAGACACAGAGACACACACACACACAAACACAAACACAAACACGAACACAAACACAAACACACACACACAATCACAAACACAAACACGAACACAAACACAAACACACACACAATCACAAACACAAACACAAACACAAACACAAAAACACACACAAACACAAACACAAACACAAACATAAACACACACACACACACCGATCCACAAAGCGAACACTACAAATACCCACACAAACAAAGACATACACATTGACGTGCATACCACACACAGACACGGGAAAACACACACACACACACAGAATATCAACAAAAGAGTTGAAACCCACACACCAACACACGAACTCAACGACAGCAACCAAGACCGTCAAACAAACAAACAAACAATCAAACAGACAGACAGACAGACAAACAAACAGCACAAACAAAATAACAAACCAACAAACAAACAAAAAACACAAACAAACAAACAAACAAACAAACAATCAAACAAACACACAAACAAACAAACAAACACACAAAACAAGCAAACAAACACACACACACACACACAAACACATCCCAAAACACCAACCACACACACACACACCAAAAGGAATGCAAGAGCAGCGGCAACAAATAAAGAACAAAACCGCATGCATATATCCCGTCTACACAAACATCACAAACACAAACAACAGGACAAATATAATATACACATGCGCCACACACACACAACAAGCCAATATCAAGGAACCATCACAGTTCCAAACATTGAACAAGAGCTGACAAGACCAAGCACAACAGGGATCCTTACACTATACACCTGAACATTGCCTTGTAAATGGTGGTTTCCCTTTATTTTGGTGGAAAAAGCCATGTTTCAAATCGGCAAAATGTCATCTTTTAAGGAGCCCTGCACAATCTCGGCTGGAAGGTCCTTGGAGGTGGAGCGAGCTTCTCCGAAACTCACACGGACCTCCTCCGAAGCCCTCAAGAAGCACCTTGGATTGTCAGATACCAACGCCACGTTGGGTGTAGACCCGTTCATCGTGCTGAGAGGTGCATCCTGAAAATCAAGCCTCTGGCGCAGAGAGGTCACTGAAATCCAGGCTTTTAGAGGGAGCCCTTCTGCACTATGCATGCATGACCAAAAAAAGAAGCAAGGGTAGTGCTCCTCGGAGCATCCTTTGCAATGCTACACCCAACTGGAAATCATGTTTCTCCCTTTGTACGTGTAGATCAGCTGTCTTCTAACCAATCAGTGCCATGGGTCAACATCCCGTACCCCCAGTGAACATCCCAATCATCACTCAAATAGACTAAAATGGGTGGTGCTCCTACCCCAAAATGGTACCATTGGTTTTGACCCACAGCCATGTACAATCAAGCTAGAGTCCAACTCTGTTCGAACCACACGTTGACCCAAAAAGGGCACACTCCCCACGCATGTACCCTCTTTCCTGCAAGCATAGAACCTGACAAAGAGTGTTGGAGGACTACGACAACCCTCTTGAAAAGGACTCTGTCCACGTCCATGTTTCTTGGTTGAAGGGTATCGCTTGACATGGGGCATTCTGAGTCTTCCATCGGTGACATGGCAACACCTGCAAGTCCAGTGTGGCTTCTTGAAATTGGATGTCATCTCATTCAGGCCCTCATGAACGTTTGCTTTGCTTTTGCCTCAACAAACAGCAGCAACAGCTCTCTACACAAACGGTCCCACTCCCGTGGCCACAACGCACACATGTTTATTTGCGTCTCAAAAACAAGGTGTTTGTTTGGGTTCCCTCTTCCACCAAACAGGTGACTTTAAACAAACCAACATCTAAACATGTGTTTTGGCGGTCAGGTCGTGTGTCTCAGGCCCCAGGCAACAGGCGAAAGAGCAAGGCTTCAAAGTCTTCCGAGCCGACGCCTTTCGACGAGGCGAAGAGATTCACGGGGCGTCCTGGAAGATGATCACTCAAGTGTGTATCGTGGTCTTTCTAGGTCCTCCAGCAGAGAGGATAGAACAAGGGTACCATTTTTTCTGTAGTCTATTTTAGTAGGGGAACAACCCCCAAAAAAATGGTAAAAGGGCACTACTGGGGGACCTAGCTTTTGATGGGTGGATTTAAAGAGGTACCTTTGGAAGACTACTATTGTCTCAAATAGCAACTCCTGTCCACTTTCTCGCACAACCCAAATGAAGAAACCCATGCCGATCCAACAGGTGGTTTTTGGAGGGTATTTGTCCAGTTTGGTTTTCATGTTGGTCTAAATGAGTGTGTTTGTAACTTGTATATGCCACCTCTTCTGTTCTCTTGGAAGTGCGGCTCCCTCTCAAGGGAGGGAAGCTATCCACCCAACACACAACTCGGACCTGTCGCTGCTTCAATGTGGGTAGTTCTTTTTTAAGGGACCTCACAAAGGGTGCGGATATATTTTGGGATTTGTTTTTCGTTTTTCGTCCGGGCCAGTAAAACGTATTTTACAGCATTTTCTCGCGAAATTGACGCATTTTACACTAGCCCGTCAACATCCCCAGCATCGGTTTCAACATCCCCCGCATGTCCAACCAACATCCCTAGCATCACAAACAAATCGTGGCTGGCGGGTTGACGGGGTCAAAAAATGATGATTCAAATAGGAGGGCATTTCAGTCCCTGTAAACAAAATATACCATGATGTTAGCAGAAGTGATGATTCGAATAGGGGTGCAATTCAATCTCTGCAAAAAGTCTAAAAAGTAGCGGGGGGGTTGAGGGGGGGGGGCTCCCCCATGATGTTCGAAGAATTGATGATTCAACTAGGGGTGCAATTAAATCTCTGTTGAAGATCTAAAACGTAGCGGGGGGGTTGGGGAGGGGGGGGCGGCAGCCCCCCTTATGATGTCGGAAGAAGTGATGATTCAAGTAGGGGTGCAATGATTCAAGAAAGGGTGCGATAGAATTTATAAGTTTATAAGGCAGCGGGAGGGTTGGCGGGGGTGGCTTTTTCTATGATGCTCGAAGAAGTGCATACATACAGACATACATGGATTACACAGATGACCTAAAATGTCGTATTTTGCAGCATTTTGTCGCGAAATTGGACAAGTGATGATTCAAATAGGGGTGCAATTCAATCTCTGCAAGAAACCTAAAAAGTAGCGGGGGGGCTGGGCGGGGCGGCAGCCCCCCCCATGATGTTTGAAGAAGTGTTGATTCAAATAGGGGTGCAATTACTCTGCAAAACATCTAAACAGTAGCGGGTGGGTTGGGGGGAAGCCCCCCCCATGATGTTCGAAGAAGTGATGATTCAAAGGGAGGAACTGGTGATGCTCACTCATGATGCGGGAAGCCAAATCCAAAAACCAATGAAAGGGTGCAAAAAGCCAGGATGCGAAAAGCCAAAGCCGCCAAAAGCCGCATAAACCAGCGAAAAGCCGCAAAAGCGAAAACGCCACCTGCCGAAGAGGAACTGGGAATGCAGAGGATGGGAAAGCCACTAAAAGCCGCATAAACCAACAGAAAGCCGAAAAGCCCAGAAGCCGAGAAGCCAAAAAAAACAAGAAGCCAAGAAGCCGAAAAGCCAAGAAGCCAAAAAACCAAGAAGCCAAAAAGCCAAGAAGCCAAGAAGCCAAAAGCGAACCCCCCCCCCCCAAAAAAAAAACACTAAAATAACTACTGTACCCCTCCCCTCACAAATGGCGGATGGTCCTTTTGGTTCGTTTCCGTAAGCCCGCCCCGGATACGTTGTGAGCCCTTTGCAACTCGCCAGGCCTTCGTTGCTGCCCCGGTGCTTGTCAAACAGGGCCTGGACTTTCGAGACCACACAGCCAAAAACACAGAAACAACACACGCTGCGCTGCAACTCCACATGCAAAGCGATGCCCAAGGTCAAACAACATGTATGCATGTCGAGGTGTTTGAGGTTCCATGTCCATCTGCCGAGACTGTTTAAAAAAAAGGAGACTATCACGGATATGCCGGAAACGGCGCATAGGTTGCTTGCACCGCCTACCAATTCTTTAGGCTGCCAAGCTCCACTTTCGAGAAAGGCATCCGCAAGGCTGTTTGAAGCTTTGGATTAAGTAAGGGATATGATTTGTGCAGGGGGCTCATTCTTGATGTAAATCTGCGAGGCACGGTTTCCTTGCAAAGCGACACCGGGTGAGGCAGTGGTGCATAGTGTCACGGAACGAAAAGCGGATTGTCTCCCTTGGGGCCGGGGACAGTGATCTCTGGAAACAGACCGCCGAAACGCGAAGCTCCCACGAGTGGATGGAAGCGACCTTTTGAGCAGGAACTGCTAAAAGTCTACCAACGATTCCGGGCTCCGGCCCCACCATTCTACAACCAGAAACTAACATCTTAGCCGAATGCGAGTCGACCCAAATGTAAGATCTGGCGGGTTGGATATGGCGAAAGAATAGGGATGAGCTCTCAAGATTTAGAGCCTTCTTTTGAATTGCTGGGGCCGGCAGCTTGTCAAAGTTCCACAAAGCCTACTGAGTGAGTCTCGCTTCCCACGTTTCCAAATAAACCCAAGCATGAACGTGAACGTGTGGTTGACAACAGGCAGGACTACCAAAACCTACGAAAGCCTGAAAGAACGGGAAAGCATCACTACATTCATCAGTCTCACAAAAGTTGGTGGCTGCTTCAGATGTAGTCACCCGTAAAGTGCAACGTGTATCCTCACTCCACCCGAATGTCTTTCCATCAACCAGCCAATCCGCCACGGCAGGAATCACGCGGATCGCGCGCCTGCATCTGTTTGTCTGCAGGCACACTGATGTGCAGCTCCTGCTGTGACTTGAGCGTGAGCCTTAACAGGGTTGCCCTTTTCCTGGTCAAGGTTTTATCCCAAACCTGAAATTCAAATGTTATATCATCATTTTTAGGTAAAGGGCCAAGAAATGATATGTTTCCAGACAGTGACCCAGTTATGACCTCCCAGGACCCCTTCAAGAGTACAGGCTGCCGGATGCATGAGTTTTTTCCCGAAGACGAGCAAGGGGCAAATGAAATCCTCTTTTACTGACTCGATCGAACCAATAAGATGCAAAGGCTTCTGGGCTGATCGCGTTGGATCTGAATCAAGCGTCAGGACTCACCAACGGGTGTTGCCGGCCCTGCGGGCTCTCAAATACACATTCCGTATCCAAACCACATGAAGATATCCAGAAGGCATGGTCATCACCAAATGCTGACAGGTCTTCAGATGCTCACTGCCCTGGCTAACACGAGGCACCACCTGGAAAGTCATTGCATCTGTGGATGCTGAGGTCGCATTCGCGCATGGACATGGGCAAACGGTAAACGGCTTCAACACTAAAACGACTGGCGGCAGGCAGCTCATGGGGGTGAGAGGGTAACCCTCTCCCCAGGTGCAATAAGGAAAGGACGATGGACAAAGTTCGGCTCATTTCCGAGGCGAGAAAATTGTGTGCTGCGGCCCCCCTATGTTGCTTAGTTTCCGTGCAAAAACTTTGCAACTATCAGCCCAATAGTAGGTACCCTGCAACGTGATTATCCTGCCTCTGCACGGGGATGCGGTTTTTGCTCACCCACAAACTGCTGATGTCACGCTCCGTTCCAACCTTTCGGAGTGCATTGGATCCAACAACAACCGATCATACAGTGGATGCCCTAGGCCCTAAACACTGCAACTACGCGAACAAGGGAAGCGCTGCAATTCACGGCACATGTCCAGGTCTTCGCGGTTGGACGCATCTTCTACCATGTGCATTGGATATTCGGCGAAGGAGACAACTGCACTGGATCCTGCCGAATGCAGGGCAACGTTGCTTAAACAGCCACTGGTTCCCTTTGAACAACCTTGCAAGAGTGTGGGCTTGTCTTGTTTGGAAGGACACCTCATGATGGTTCCCTTCGGTTTCCCTTTACATCTACCCCTATGTGGGCTTCCTTCGAAAAAATAAAATAAAAATGCTGGTGCTCAGCAGTCAGCAGGGAATGAGTTGGAATGCCCCCCATAATCAAACCAACTGGTGGTCTCCATTTTTCGGGAATCCCGAAAACCGGTTCATTCCCAACACCCAGGCTCGGAAATTCATTCCCTACTTCTCGCACCAGCAAGAAAAGGACCCGGGAATGACCTTCCGGGTTTTGGGAATAAACCGTTTGGAGATTCCCTTAAACCAAATCTGGGCATGGCTTATAGGGACCTAGGGATGCCCGGGCCATGGCTTTCTTGGGGTCATGCCATGTCTCAGCCATCGCACCGATCGCCAGCCAAAGGTCTCCGAGGCCTGCAGCAGTTCTCGTAGGTCATGCTGAAAGTCCTGAGACGTCGAAGGGGTGCCAGAGGCCAGAGGGGCGTGGCTCGCTCTTCGGCCTGCCTGTTCTATAACCGAAAGGTAACACGGAGGGTTGCAAACAGACGTAAATTGGACAAAAACCACAGGCGTTTGTTTTTGGTTTGGGATTCATGGCCTGGAAGCAGGCTGAGCCCAGCGAGGCCAACCTTGCAGAATAGCAAACGTGGACTTTGTCCAACCACTGTCTAAGGTGTTGGCCGCCCTGTCGTGGGGAAGTCACCGGTCACAAAACCGGGGAAAGCAGACGAGTGCTGGGTGAAACAAATCGCGTCCAAACCATGAAACGAGACAATTCTAGAAATGCAGCCAAATAATATTAAGCTTAACCCCTGGAATAAGAGAGACGTCTCGTGAACGCCTCGGCAGCACGGCAGTTGCGGGAGAAACAGCCATCCCGAGAAGCCCATTCCAGCCCCAGCCCAAACACGTCAGTTCAGTTGAACCCGCAGCGAAAGGAGTGTCAGATATCGAACTCAAGACAAAGCACCTGTATACTTTAGCAATCGAATAGGGAACGATGGAACGTCAAAAGAGTAGGTCTCTTTTAAGTCTGCATGGATTAGAACACATCTGCCATATTGAGCGTGTGCCTCCAAAATGCAGTGATAGGCTCAAGTGGTTTTAGTTTGGCCGCGGGCTGCGGAAGGAGCAGTACCCACTGCTGGCTTTCTCCGGTTGGACCCGCCTGATGCCCAGCCCATATTTGCGAAACGTACGTTCAGCTCAACCGGCTTCATCAAAACTGAGCTGAGCGCCATGTGGTAAAGCCACAACCGTCTCCATTCAAGTGACATCCTCAAGACTAACCTAGATGGCGGTTTACAGGGAGACCTCCCCCAGAAGCAATCTTGAGAACCCCCCTCCGAAAATGTTCGCTTCAAGAATGAGCCCTGCCATTCCCTCCTCGAAGCCCAAGCGGTTCCCTGGAAGCAGCGTGCGCCCCTCCACCTGCGCAAGCCAAGCGGCTCGGACCCAAGAGATCTGCGCGTCGTGCTGAGTGCACTTCCGTGCTGCCCTTTTTTGTTCAGGGCCTCCTTGTGGACCAGAGAAGTTGTTCCAAACCCGGCACAGCCCATTTCTGCGAATTGCAGGTCGAGACTTTCTGGGATTCTGCGCAGGGGGTGCTTTCAAGGGCAACACAAGGGCACCACCGATTTCGGTGGTCGATTTCGGATTTCATGCCGTGAAAACAATGTGCTGGAGCACACAAACACAAGGATACCTTGTTCGAAGGAAAGATACGGGTGCTTCTCAAAGTTGGGGACTTTTGAGTCTCTGAGTGGCCGGCTTCCGCGCTAGTTAGACAGGGTGCTTCTTTCCACACATAACACCACACACGCACACAGACTTAGGGTGGGGCGACCCACTCATGAGCAAAGGGAAACTGCTCCTTGAGTTTGTCGGGAAACTATTCCGTTTAACCATGTGACAAGTAACTTAACTGTATTCATCTTTTCTGCAGAAACAATGGTAACATGCAATCATCAACCTCAGCTGATCAGCCGGCCTGAAATCAGTGTCAGCTCCGATATAGACTAGCCTGTTCACTCGGCTTCCCAGCCTTAAAAGGCCTCTCTGCATAAGTTCTCAACTTGTCCTTGCTTCGCATCAGCTCGACCTGGGCAGAAAGAAACGCACATCGTGACTCGAGCGTCTTCATCTATCTGATCCTTCCGAAACAAACAAACCGCATGTCACATGCCTATTTCGGTCGGGGCCAAACCTGTGAGAACACAGCCATCCCAGGAATCAGCTTCCATGAGCTTTGTAGCATCCAACCAGTGCGGCCTGAAGAGGCCCCTGCGTGAACAAGTGATGCATATTGTCTGAAAAGGTCGACTGACTGAGGGCCTAAACATGGCATCGAATCGTTTGTGAGAGACCCATGGCTGTCAGCTTATCACAGACATGTCAGCTATTGACCCCGGTATGCTCCCTTGTCCATAACCGCTTGGGTCAGTGGAGACTTGGCAGCGCAACACTATGTCCTGGCAGTTTGACAGTGATGGCGCGGCCAGCTTTAACAGGCGACGTCGAACCATCTGTTTCTGAGCCGCGCTTTTCTCCACTCAGCTGCGTCTGCTCAAATCATGCAGCGTGTCGAAAGTTTCTTGCAATACCACAACCAGCTCCTGCGCAACTGACGTGCAATCACATTGCTTGGTCATGGTAGAATGAACATGACAAAACAGAACATTAGCCTCCGCATACCTCTGAGGCTTACCTTCGGCTTTTCACAACATCAGCGCTCACCCGATATGCCGATATGCAGCTGAACCCAATGAGAGCTAGGCGCGGCACTAAATCTCTTTGTGCCTTCTCCGTGAAGTTTAGCCGGGATCCTGACAAAGGCTCCGCTAAGGTCCCATACCAGTCGAACCGCTACAGCCCAATTGAAATCCATCTCCGAGCAACTACTGTGGATGGACGAAATCCTGCACCACCTAAGAAACCCTGGTTTCTGATGATTCCCGTGTAAAATGCCAACCAACAATGTCCATCCACAGTATCAATGGGATACAAGATCATAGAGCATCACTTTCCATGTTAGTGGACTAAAGGGTATCCAGCCATGCAAGGCTCATGACATACGCAGCATTTCCTGGGTCAGTGACACCCCAGTTGGTCCAACGTGCAATTTTCAGTTCTTGGGAATATGTGATGCACTGCCACAAGCACATTACAGGCTTTGCGAACAAACAAACAACGGCAATCCCTGTCACTGCCGGCCTGACTGGAGCTAGCCTTCAAAACAGAATCTAAACTGTACTATTTACGTTGAGTTGCAGTCACATGATTGACATGTGTTCGTTATAAACTTCACTGTATACACCTGGTTGCTGTTGACCCCCTCTGAAAATCCACTGCTACCTAACCCTCAGGCCCTCGAGGCTGCCACCCCAAACTTGTGCCAGCTGCTTCCATTTGCTTAAGCCCCCGAGAAAGAAAAAAACACAGATTTCCAGGAGTGAAATCGATTCCCTTTAAAGCCAAGGGAACATCTTTCCAACAATACATATTCTCAGGATATATGGCTGTGAGTCAAAACACCGGGACCAAAATGGCGCCCTGGCAAGTGGAAACATGGACTAAAACCTGCGGTCCCCGGTGGTTTAATTTTGACCATACCCATATGTTGTTTAAACCAACAAGGGGGAAGAATCTTGCGGCGGGCAGTCCTGGAGACTTCTCCGAGTTTGCAGAGAGGCTGGATCTGGACCTCCAACCAGCCGGCTTCTCCCGGCGGTTTTCTGCGGCATCCTCTAGGGACCCATAGCGCAGGGGCACACAAGAAATTCGGTGGAAAATGATTCGATGGTTCAGGGTATATTGTAGTATTGTAAATTTAGGCTGCAGGGATCTTACAAATTTGGCACCTTCGAGGGTAGTGTCTAAACAAGGCTCTGCCAAATGTTCATACCCCCAAAAAGCAGAAAATTAGGAATCCGTAATAGGGAATTACCAAGCAAAGGAGCTACATCTGGACAAATTAGGACATATTTCACCAACCGGAAATAGGGGGTCCCCAAGGATCTTCATGGCGAGAAGGTCTTCATCGGTATGCTCGCTATTGACATCACCGCCACTTGTACTAATTGCGAGGTCTTGCGGGTGAAACGTGACGCGAATCAAGCCATATACCGTTACAAGTAAAGCGTCACACGGACAATGCAAACGCCAACATGTTGCGAGGATTTTAAAGACGCAAATCAACCTAATCAACAAAATACTGTTTGCAACGCAATGGGTGTCAGCCATTTTTTTGCAAACACTTGAACCCAGATCGAAGCAAAGTACTGATCCGCAAACCACGCGAAATTTGAAAGGGAATGGAATGAGCAAAAGCATATTATACGAATATAGGACCGTGGTTTCCTTCGAAGTCCTTGCAACGAACATCAAATCAACACATCATCACGGTGCAAGGATCATAATCTGTTTTATTATGGTGCTTTGTAGGCGTCCCTTGACAATCCGCAGAATCCATGCCTGTCAGAACTCCAGTGTCCCCAACCTAAATATGCGGGTTGATCAATATTCCTGGCCCCCAAATGACCGTGGTAACTTTTCCTGTTTAGTGGACAATATCATCTTCTTGGTGGCTTTCCCCAAAAGGACCTTTTGATCAACCCCCAATATCTTGACATTGGCCATGGGTTTGTGTCAACATCGTCTCAGCCAGATTGTTTGATGGTTTCAGTCTCGAAATAGTTTGATTCAATAACTTAAACAAGGAAACCCCAAGCAAAGCCAACCCATAGAGTCCCGCAACGAAATATGGAGAAACACCCGAAGCGCTTGATCATGTTCATTGTGTTCTTCAATGACATTGAGAGTAAATATTGTCCGATATGAGCCGCAGCCAAAGAGGACATTGAGCGAGTCTTTGTGGGAAGCTTGGTGAGACCCCCAGATTGAAATCATAGCACTACTGGACATATTGACCGAAGCTCATATGGGTGCCCATTTTTTTGTTGAGGATGCAAAGGGAAACCAAAGGAATAACTCATGTTTGTTGGGATCCCCTTGGTTTCACGCACATGTACGTTATAGTATAATGAAACGAAATGAACTATAAATAGCCTAAAATACTGTGGATGAAGAAACTTCTGCACCGCCTACAAAAACCTGGAATGATGTTTCTCTGCTTCACTCAAACAAACAACGGTTTCCCATAGTTTCAAAGTGGTGCAGGATTTCCTCCATCCACAGTATCATATAGCATACTCATATGATACTCATATATTATATTTCTATAGTAATATATACAGACAGCACCATCTCCCTTCCGCCTGGCCGGTCGGGGAGCATTGGGGCTCGCTCTGGCAGTGGAGCAGGAAGCCGGGCTAGCTCCTCGCAAACGCGCGCTAGCCGCGCTTGCGGGAGGGGTTCCAACCGTCCAAGCACGAAAGGCCATGATTCAACATGGCCCAACATGAGGAATTTTGCTGGTTGGACATGAATCAAAAGGGTGATGCGTTACATGAAACGTTTTCAGATGGCCGTTTGGATTCGACATCTTTTGATGATTGGACATGAATATGGGTAAGACGTGTCACATGAATCCTGTGTTGATTGTCACACATATCTTTGCTACTTGGACAGGTTCAGGTTAAAGGGCATCAGTTGTTGCATCTCATTGATTGGATTCATAATCTTGGAGCTAGTATTTCACCCGGCAGTTGGTGTCATTGCGCAAGTGGTTTGTGGAAGCTGTCTGTGGTGCTGTCTGTGGTTCAACTTCTATGAGAGTTGGTGAACTTTGCCAAGGCATGGAGGCATCACAGTTCAAATGCCAAACCTGAATGCAAATGGAGAGGCATGATGAGCCAAGCTGATCATTCTCCGGGACAAAAAATGAAAAAAAAACAACATGTATGAGGATTTGACATTTCAAACATTTGATGCATATCTATCTTTGGCTACATTTATACGCTAAAGCGTATACATTCGTTCAGCCACGAAAGGCCATCATCGCTTCCGCACTTGCAGGCTGAGCATCACAACGATACAGGCCCGAACAAACGCTTGCATGATTGCAGTGGATTGCCTCTTAGGATTATCTACAAAAGTCCGCGGAACAAAGGAGGACAGGGGTGCACCCGAAGCCCCCAAAAGTCGTGTCTCATGTCCGGCGGAAGCAACAATTGAGAACCGGGTCACTAGAATCTTCCATCCCACAAATCACTGAGGACCAGCTCGTTGTGATGCATTCATCTCTGGCCATGTGCGGCCGTCTTCAAAGAGTCCAACAGTG